AAACTAAAAACAAGAAACTCTTACACTAGTGGCCAACAAAATAACAAAAAAAGGAACAAAAAAAAAATCAGAAAGGGAGCAAAATTACGAAAAATAAAGACGTTGTTTTTTCTCACTCCTTTTCAAAAGCTGTATCAGCCGGTCATCTTGAAAGGAGAGTACATTACGCCCGCAGAATAAGCAGAGAAAAATAAAAGTTTAAAGCAACAATAAAAATCATTATGTATCTTGATAAAGACACAAGTCGATCGAAAATGCAATCACAAACTTTTATAACATCTACAACACACATACAAGCATTTTTGACTACGTTAAACAGCACCAACCAAATCCACTTCCTCATCACGCAAATGGATTCCAAAATAACAGAAAAAGCTGCGTTCAGCAGTAAGTCAACAACAGCAATGTCACGGCGATCAACGGTTACGATATTTTGTAAAGCAGTCTAAGCTTCGTCATATAACTCAACCCCTCACCACCCCCCTCAATCACAAATAACTCACAGGCACAGCGAAACCTATCAAAAGATCCAATGATCCAACATTTAGAGAACGGAACTTTGCCAGTTTATAATTTTAAAAAATGAATCATGTTATCCTGTCAGTTTCCTTCAACTTTAGTTGAAAATATAATATCGATCAAATTCCCCATCAACGGAAATGATACGCTTACAATGCTGCTTGATCTTTACTGAGTAATTTAAAATGCACTTCAAGCAGTTAAACAAATAAACACAAAATTTTTTCACTTGAAAAAAAAAAAAAAAACAAAGGTAAACAACATAAATGGCATCCACAAATTTCGATGCAATTGAAACACCACTGATCGATGAAAAACGATTGAAAGGGCATTAATTGATGAGAAGTAGGCCCTTTCAAACATAACAACGTACGACTGCACCCACCAAAAATTGAAGCAATTTTGACACGTGGAGTACACGTGAAATTTTTGATGTGTACCCCCATCTTATGCCTTGAGTTCGAGTCTCCCCTTAAAGGTCTCACACCATCCGAGCTTTTACCAAACAAGCAGTGACAAATGCATAAAAGCTAAACATTACCAAAAATTCCAAAATAATCCAGACAAAACAGAAGTACAGCGTTGACAGCTGTGACAGAAGTCTACCTATTAATCGCCAGAACGGCTATCAAGATAACGCTTTTTACCAGTGAATGAGGCCTACTTTGACCTCCGTTCCTTATTACCGCCGTAAACTTTTGAAAGGCGTTAATGTATCCACATAAAAGGAAGACTAGCTGGATTGTAAAAGAGAGAATCGAAAAACAAATCAATTATTAAAACTCCTCCCTATAAAAACGGAATAGATGTAATAAAAAAAAAAAACTGACCAATCCAGGAACTAAGAAATCGATGCAAATTTCTGAACAACGTTTATTTGAGTCCCAATTAAACTGCAACTAAGTTAAGGCTGATAAGACCAAAGCTACGAATTCTATTTCTACCTGCGCATTGAGTATTGAAAAGAAAGGAAATAAACTTCTAAGCAGTACTTTAAATCACGACCACAAGCCGCTCTCTTATACCCGGAAGAGAATCAATCACAAACCCGGAAGAAAAGTAACTAAGAAGACTTCCCACGCAATAGTGTAAAGTGATTATTAAGTTGCTCGCATCAAGTTTTAGAACTTTGGTCAGAAATCAATTTATAGCTTGAAAATTAAAAAAAATACTACCGCACCTGACTGCCAAAGAAATATTTCTTCATCAATTCCATGCAAAAAAAAATTTGATCTCGACGCCGAAAAGGTAAAGAATAATTCCAAAGCAAACTGATCAGCTAAATACAGTCTAATTACACAAAAACAAGTACAATAATTACCAAATTATCGCATTACAGCCGAAAAAAGGCAAGGTTATCTGAACGGCCGGCTAAAATGAGACAGATAAAGAATCGAATATGGTTTATAAAAATTCCCGCTGCATAAAGCGCAAAAAAAAAAAAAAAGTTTAATGCAAGGAATGGGCACTGAAATTGATACCTCACTGAAAGCCAAACAACGGACGTTTCTATTATCCAATAGGAGTTTACAAACAATTCGACTTATAGGTAGACGGAAAATGAATTATAAAAGGAACATCGTGCTAAATATTTTCTGTATCCTGTCACACAGAGAAATAGCGCACAAAACAGTGGCCATCGCCACCTTAATGATGTCGGCGGTTTGCTGTTAAACAAACTCTATTGGTAAAACAGACGCTTCGTGGTAGTTTGAGGTCAAAGAATGTACCAGGCACTCTAAAACACGGAACTGCTCTTTTTGACCAAAAAACTCAACTCACAAAAGCATTAAGCGAAAATACAAATAAGTAACAGGCAGTCATACAAACCGCATCAGCGCTGTTCCTCAACTTTAAAAAATAGCATTAAAAAGAAACTGACCAAACGACCTCAAGACTGTTGAACCAAAAAACAAAAACTTCTCTACACGGTCTCTAAACTACCAGCCAATTCCAGTGAACTAATACTGTGAGCACATGCGAAAAAAATGAAACGTACATGGTGACCCCAGTAGACCGATTAAACGTTGGACGCTGCTAGCAATTAAAAAAAGCAACAATGAGCTTGGAAAGTCAAAATGAAAAAAAAAAGTCATCAACCAAGACGAACTCTAATTTCACTGTTCTGAGAAAGCGCGATTTTCCATTACACGTGACACGAAACTGTGGCAGCCAAGTTCTGCAAAAATATTATAATAAGAAAAGGTCATCTCTTTAAATTACACAATAAACGCTATAACTGCATTAATGCAATAGATAACACCTACAAAAAGTGCTGCGGTCATTAACAACAATCATTTTTTAAAATTTATCGTTTTTTTCTTAGATACAAGTAAAAAAACGAGAAAAAAAGAAAACTACTAGAAATTGAACATTAAAAAATCATCCGGAAGTAACTTGCGACGAAACTGCATAACTTTTTATTGCGTCATACTACATAACAATTGGTGAAATGAGAGGGTATGCAAAAAAGGACACTGAACTCTTATCTCTGAATTCTGCAAAACGTAAACGACTATGCGGTGAAATAGCATAATCCAATATATTCCTACCAAACCATGTCTATAATTTAATGGTATGAGCCTATGCAACAAAACGGTCGATAGGATAAACCAAAAGAAAACTGCAGCCAGCAAATGTATCATTAAGAATAGTTGGTAAAATGATTAAAATTGAAACGACAGACGAAGAAATATTTGAAGATAAAACAAAGCTGTGTCAACGACGAAATTTTAAGATTCGAATATGAGAACAAAGTAAAATTTCATGACTGACCAGCACAAACAAATATGGCAATGAGACTGCCTAAAGGAGCCACGGAGCAAAGCGGCACGGTGACCGCCACAACTGTTGCCAAAATCAACGACCTTTTCCTGTTTGGTGCATGCATGCCTTTACTATGATATCACCGCACAATGGTACCAAGAAGATCTTTTACCTGCCTATTCTCCACTATAAGTGATAGAATTTAGTAGTCCAAAAATAGACTTCAAAGGCATCAAAGCACCTAAATGAAACAATACTTAGAAATATAGCAATAAAAAAAAAATGGAAAAACAAAAAAGAAAGCTAGCCAGGAAACTGT